GTTTCGAAGCTTAGGACATGTTTTCAAATCCAAATAACCAATATTCGGCCACTCTACATTTTCCCATTTTGCTTGGTTCACTTTGGGAGCCACGGTACATACCCTCTGCTGACCCCTTTCACATCCCTGACCACGATCTCAAATGCCTCAAAGTCCAATGCCGTGACCGCATCGAATCCCACGTCGAACAAGATGAGAGACCACTCGAAGAACGCATATTTCGTGTAGGCTTCGGAGAGAGTTGTTAGAGAACAGTATGCCAAACATAGAACAAAAGTAAACTCACCACCAGCGACCTTGTGCACCTTGTGTTGGATGAAGTAGTAGATCAATGGTACTAGGGTGCCAAAGAACAGTCCTGCCATGATCTTTCTGTATTTCTCAGCGCGGCGGTTGTTGGGGCTGAGTGCCAGGCAACCAAGGGTCCAAGGTAATGTCGCGACGAGGTAAGAAATCATGAAGATATCATGCCAGTCATGGTCGTCGGTCGACGTGACATATGTCCAACCACCACAGGTGAAAGTCCGGAACAGCCCAACACCAGCAACGATCTTGGGAAGAGTCGAGTTAGGCCGCGCAGTAAGAAGGTACCAAAGGAAAACGAGAGCGAATCGAGGACCGGAGGTAATGGCGATGAAGACTTGAAAGAATGAGCGTTCCGGGTATCGATCACCAATCGTGGCTGATACAGAAGGGAACCATTCATCCGGATATCCATAGTGTTCGTTCTGCACGATCTTGTGGAAATGCAGGGACATTCCCACTACAAGAGCGCTCAGGAACGCCGTATAGGCAACCGCTGTATGTGCCCATGATACCCATTTACCACTGATCTGGCATTGACTTAGTGAATCGCCTTGAATTATCTGGGTGTGTATCAGCTTACCGCCACAACGGCATCCCCATCTTTGAATTTGGGAGCCATAGTAGCGCAAGAAACGCAGGGCCCACACTCCGCGCGTTTAGAAAGCCAAAAAGCTACGACAGATGGGAAAAGAATATAAAAGAGCGTCGAGAATAAACGATCAAATAAAAGAAAGAATAAATAGGAAAAGGAAAACTGTCAGCAGTCAGAGGAAACCCCCTGAGATGTGAAATGGCCAGGTTGGAACTCGGTAACATGCGGAGCGGAGCGCGCGGACACATGCAACAAAAGGCACGATTCCTTAAAAGGAAGGCGGTCACATCCCAACAAACAGATCGGAGATATCGAGCGGGATGCCGACAACTTTTTCTGGCCTGCATTGGAGGACTCTGCGAAACGTATTTGACGGTCTTCTGCAGCAATAACCACCATCATGTCGGCTGCAGCAGATAAAGCGCGCTTCTACCTAGAGCAGACTGTGCCAGAGCTGAAGGAGTTTGAGAAGAAAAAGATATTTAGCAAGGTACGAGTCCTCAACCACCCATTTTTCAAACAGAGTCACTCACAGTGCTCGTTACCATCAGGAGGAGATTTTATCCATTGTCAAGAGACGGTCAGATTTCGAGCACAAACTGAACGCCCGCGGCGCTCAGCCATCCGACTTTGTGCGATATGCGGAATACGAGATGAATCTTGACGCTCTGCGACGCAAGAGAGTGAAGCGGCTAGGCATTCGGTCGGCGGGCCATTCGGGCCAAAGACGGATTTTCTTCATCCTCGATCGAGCTACTCGGAAGTTCCACGGCGATCTCGGCCTATGGATCCAGTATATTGAGTATGCCCGCCAGCAGAAAGCATACAAGAAGCTTTCGACGATATTCACGGATGCTTTACGGCTTCACCCTACCAGCGTGGACTTATGGATCTACGCAGCACAATATAATGTGGAAGATCACGCAGATATGACAATGTCGCGAACCTATATGCAGAGAGGACTGAGATTCTGCAAGAGCTCAAGGAAATTGTGGCTGCACTATGCGAAACTCGAATTGATCTACATCGCCAAGGTTGTTGCTCGACAGCGGATACTGGGCTTGGACCAGCCGATTGAAAAGCCTAGCCTGGTTGAAGAATCTGGATTTGACGACCCTAATGCCGACATGATTGCTCTACCTAAAATCACCGGGGAAGATATCAACCCTAGCGCCGGAGATGAAGACGGAGTCGATCACGTTGCTCTGGAAAATTTGAACTCGACGCCTGCTCTGAGCGGCGCGATCCCGCTGGCCGTCTTTGATACGGCGATGAAGAACTTCAACAACGATGACCGCTTCGGCCACGAGTTCTACGACATGGTCTCCGAATTCGAGGACTTACCGTGCCTGCGCAAGATCTTGGGACATGTAGTTGAGGTCATGTCGCAGCACAGACCAAACAGCTACCGTACGCATATCTGCAACATCAAATTCCCAATTACTGGGATCCGACCGACATCTCCCGAGTTTCCTCGGGCATTGCGTGAATCTCTTGCGCGTTTGAAGGAGCACCGGCAAGATCCAAATGTCGCCAAGGAGGTGGTCAGCTGGCTGCAACCGTTCCAGAAGACAGAAGACTTGGACCCTGCCTTGCAGAAGGTCATTGCTGCCACCATCCACAACGCCGAGCGGGTCCTTCAGCAGGAGTAGACATTGCATCTTCAGTTCTTCATCGCGGGCGTTCCTTAGGGTTGTTTAGGGTCCATAAGCAAAGAAAGACGAAGCTTGTTCTCTCTTTCAAGGTGTTTAAAAGTTAGCTTCCTATCACTCATCATACTTATTACCCCGCCTGTTGCTCTTCTTGCTGCTGTGCAGTTTCTTTGCCTTGATTCTGGCCTCATTTTCAGCCCTTTTCCTGTTGCAATTGTGAGAGCTGTTCAATATCCTGTAGATAATGCATATAACGAGGAAGGCATCGTACATTTTCTGCACTTTTTCCCGTTGCTCTTCAGACGTTTCTCCAGGAATCACATCTTCTGCAGTCGTTTTCAACAAATGGAGGAGTTTCTCATAGCAGGACTCCACGTTAGCGGCCTGTTTCCGCGACTCTTCAGACTGAATAACCAGCGTCTGTGTTCTCTCGGCGTAGAAACGGGACAACCGGAGATGATGATGTAGGATCCGCGGCACCAGAGGCAGGAGAGACTGGAGGGGTACTTTCAATGTGGCTTTTGAGTTTACCCTATTAGGGAAATGCGATGAGATGTTAGTCTACTGAGGCGTACGTTCCGAGTTCTCTGACGTGGTCTCGGCCAGTCAAATGAGGCTTGATCAATGAATGACCTTAGTGCAGGATAATGCTACAGGGGAGAGGAACGGACTTGTTGACATTCTGACCGCCAGGACCGCCGGACCGGCTGAAGGAAATCTCGCAGATGTCACGAGGGATTGTGACTGTCTTTGAATTGAACTTGTTAAGCCACTCCCGAGCTGCGGCGAGGTCCTTTTCGTCTGGTTCGGCGGTAGTATGGTTGGTATCCCTTTCGTTGTTGGCGGCTGCTCGTCTGGAAGCGAAGCCTCTTGCGATGGTGGGACCAGCGGGGGCTTTGCTGAAAAATCGAAGGAGTCGTGTTGGCATATCTCGTGACGGTTAGAATTTTTTTTTTTTTCCCTCCTTTTTTCCTTTGACCAAGCGTTCTAGTCTTTGGCCTTTTGATAAAGGTAGGCACGTTGTGCAGTGTAAATAGTTATCGTGTAGGAAGGAGTAAATCATAGATTGAAGAGCAAGATTAGGCTAGAAAGACCGAATAAAAGGCGGAGAATGAAATCATTGACAGTTCTCGAAATCAAATGACCTGTAAGACAGATAGATCCTCGGCCGTGTTAGCTGTCCGCACTCGTTCTATGCTGAAGAAATTTCTAGACTACTGTCAGGATAGAATTAAGGGAGTCCATCTTAAGGGAAAAGCACGCACAAGTCTATATGTTTCTTAACTGCTACCACTATCTAGGCCTAGAAACTCAGTTAAGAATGTCAAATAAGAGTTTGGTACTCTGAAGCTATGGAACACCATAGCAGCATCTTTCAAGTCCACCTAGCAGATGCCTTCCTACTTAACCATCCTCAAATCACATGAAGCGAGAACCCAGGAGAAGAGCGGGAATACTCCGTGATCGATGGTTCTGGACCCCTGGAAACGTCGAGATGACAGATTTAGTTGCAAGCTAGTCGTGTTCGTGACTAATTAGCCAAAGCGTTGGTAATAAGCCAGCAAAAACAGCTAGGACATGGCGCTAGGTAGTTGGACTAGACGGGGTAACTTAAGAACCTTATGGACAGGTCCCAGTTCCAGCAGATCCAGATGGTTCTTGGTTTAACACTAGAATACATTAACCCGTCCAGTCAGAGCTTAGCATGGGAGTCCGAGGATTCCACACTGGCTCACAGACATCATGCACACTCGGTAGGTGATAAACTAACTCCGTAGACTACGGACTATCAAGATGCAGAGAAGATAGAACGTGCTACATACTGCTCTTTGACGATGGGAGCCACAACCGCCTTCCTGGATAATAATGGTAGATACTCCATACTACGAGACCTTCCGCGTAGATTTCCTTTGATAATTCGTCGACTCAACCTCCTCGCTCCCTTGACCGAGAATCTTCTCCCCTTACTGTTGTTTGTCTCCAGGTGTTGGAGTAGACAGATCGTTGGAGAATTTTCGTCAACCGACGTACTCCGTACTACTGTTGAATCAAGTCATCAATTTCAAAACCCCTGTTATCACCTCATTTGTTTCCGTCATCCCCAACTTTTCCATCAAGCGGAATCAACCCACAGCTCATCTCCATTATTAATTCATTTCCTGTTCAATATCCCACTCTCTCTACGATCTCATTTTTTTCTGCAAGAAAAGCTCCGTTTGTGCTCGGAGTTTGGACCCTCTAGTTCTACGCCTCTCCGCCCTTCCGCCTTACCGCCCTGGGATCAGAAGAAAAAAAGAAAAGCAGAAAGAAGGGCCCGGTGCCTTTTGCAAAGATAGCCCCACTTGAGCTACTTCGACTGCGAAATCTTCCCCCTCTCATCGCGTTGTGGCCCTTTTGCAGTCTCTTGCGGTATTTGTAGATGAAAGTGATCCACCCTGTCTGTTGTCTACATGACGCCGGGTTCTCCAGATGAAGCTCTTCACTTTCGAGGCAAAACTCTGACTCCAGAGAGCCCTCGTCCGCTACACGTCGCGGAACCGACCAAGATCCCTGTGCTGCAGAACCAAATGGACCCAGTGTTCAATGATACGTCGACTTATTTTGACACGCCCTTGTCAGACCTTGAAAATGGTTCCCAGATGCACCATCACAATGGACAATATGCAGGTTCGGAGAATGTGACGAGGTATCAGGCGCTGGACCATCACTATCAACAATATCATCCACCATCGTCGACACAAACACAAGGTAGCTTTCACACTGGTTCTTTGCAGGCGGATGATCGATCAGTGGACAAGAAAAATGAGACTTCACTTTCTGCGGGGACAGCAACTGCTAAGCCTTCCCTTCCATCAGATCAATCTGCAGTAGCAGACGAGGATTCCTCTACTGCGCCGGCCATAGCAGCGAGCTCATCTCTAACTGTTCTTCCTTCGTCAGATCCTGCTGCCCCTCTAGCTCACCCTAACCCCGATGTCCCTTCCTCTGCCTCCTCTCAGGCTGCCCAGATCCTGCCCGTCGCGAACGAGGTAAATCACGCCGTCGCCAGCTGGACCGCGCAGTCGGCACCGCATGATCGCTTAGATTCCCAAGCCAAACCCGAAAATAATACTGGTGAGGGTGGTGTGGACTTCCAAAACCTCCTCGATAATCTTCCTCCTCCCTCTACTGCCGCTCCATCTCCTCCCCTACCCTCGGAGACGGCCCCTTCGTCTGCGGACGACGTCTCTGAAGCTCCTCAAAGCCTTCCCCCTCGTCCCCCGCCCCAGGAGAAGCCCTCCATTCATCCTAATTACCATCCCAGCGATGATATCCGTTCGTATCATCAACTCCACCCTCACCCTCCCAACACATCCACTACCTACCCTTCCCAGCAAAGTAATTATCAATCCAACTTAGGGCTGCCTTCCTTGGCTGCTTCTGGTGCTCCTGGAACCGCGTCGGGCGCCAGCTCATTGCCTCCACCCCCTGGTCCCAGCTTCCAGCAACCGGCCCCCTCTACCGCAGAATCGTCTCAGGAGCCCCCTGCAACGGTGACTTCTCCGAATGGTCGCGCCGAGAAGCCGGTTGGTCGTGTGGTCAAACCCGGAGACGAAGATGTTCCGTGGGGTCCAGACGTACAGAAGAAATATGACCAATTCCTGCATGATGAGAGAGTGTACGTAACGGAGGGACTTTGGGATCGCTTCCCAAATGGGTCCCGGTTGTTTGTGGGTCAGTATCCTGCTACTTCTACTTAAACCGTTGGTATCTGACCCTTATCTAACCCTGCCACCAATTCAGGTAACCTACCAACGGAGAGGGTCACAAAACGAGATTTGTTTCATATCTTTCACCAATACGGCAAACTAGCCCAGATATCTATCAAGCAAGCCTACGGTTTCATCCAATTTGTCGACGCCTCCGCCTGCAAGCACGCGCTCGATTGTGAACAAGGAGCTGTGATAAGGGGTAGGAAAATCCGTAAGTTGGCACTGTAGTCCCAGCTGGCATTCGGGCCTGAATTGACTCTGTCTTGCGCAGACCTTGAGATATCAAAACCGCAGAGGAATACTCGGGCAGGACCTCCGCCACCTGAGCCAGCTCGTGGTCCTCCACCCCGACAGTCTAGGTCCCCGGACCACAGCAGAGGCGGTCCTCCCAGCGGCCGTCCGAGAGGTTCAGGAGATCGCTATGATCGACCTTACGAGTCAGGTAGAGTCCCATTTAGTGACTTTAGAGATGAGCCGAGCCACCGCAGACGCGACGATTATCGACCCCCGCCACGATCGCCCTCTCCACGTCCGTTCCGAGGAAGAGATGGGTACAGATCTCGGGATAGAACTCCTGAACGATATGATCGGCGTGAGAGACGCCGTTCTCGGTCACCGTATGGGAGAGATAGACGGTATCGGACTCCTAGCCCCAGGGGTCGCAACCCATACGACAGTGATTCAGACTTGCCAGTGCCCAGGAGAGCCCCGCGAGATGTCCCAGAAGTGCAGATCTTGGTTCTCGAAGAAGTTGACCGGTAAGTTACATCGTCTAGCTCACGCCTTCGTCGACGGTGCAATTCTGATGTTTCTTTCAGTAACTTCATCTTCCACGTGGAGAATGCCTTCCGCAATCGAAGTCTTCGGGTCGATGTCCTGGTGTTAGGTCCTCGCATACCACTGAACGCGGCAGTTCAGCGGCAGATTAAAGAAGGGGTTCTTGCTGTTGTGAGACTGTCTCGTCCGAACCAATTCTCAAGGAAGATACCTTTGCAGGTCTTTGATCGCAGTGGTGGGTCAGACAATGTTCGCTTCAATGGTCAGCAACCTTGTTTCCAGTCACCTCTCTGCACGCGACCTCTTTACTCACGTATTATGTACAGAATATCCAGAAGTCGAGCCCAACATTGCCGCCGAGATCGTCTTTCATGCCCAAGCCATGCAGCGCGGTGCTACTTCACTTCCTTTCCCACCCAACCCAGCGTTCGCCATGCCAACAATTCCCATAGCGCCCATTCCTCAGGCACCATTGCCGGTGCTTCCCACTTCTTCCAACGTCGCGAATATGATTTCGTCTCTTGATGGGCCTACCCTTCAGTCTCTCTTGGGTGCACTGCAGCAGCGACAGCAACAACCCGTTCCCGCTGCACAGCCCTTTACAGCTACCAACATACCCCATACCACTGCAGATCTCGCAAGCCTTTTGAGCGGAGCCACGCGGCCACCTATTCCTACGAACCCTCAACAACACCTGCCTCCGCAGTACTCGGTCCCAGCCACCAATGCTCCGGTGGTTCCGGATCCCAATCTGATCTCATTGCTTGCCAAGGGCCTGGGTGGACAACAGCAACCACAGCAGCAGAACTTGGCGACTATGAGTCCTCACGTTCAAAACATTATGAATCAGTTAAGCAAGTGGAAACAATGATGGACAATAATTCTTCTAAATGTACATCCTCCGCCTTTCTCTCTGTCCTCTTCGTTTGCTTCTGTTCTGAAATCTCGGATTACCAGGGAGCTTGGCGTTTCTTTCATGAATGTCCGTTGAATTAATTAGTCATGGGATGAACTGGCCATTGTTCACGGTTTCTATGGCTGGTTGTTGGCTTTGATGCTCCTTTTCTATTTCGTCCAAGACATTGCGACGGGAGTGCAGCGTGTTATCCTTTCGAGGCATTCAAAGCTTAGATATGGCAGGAAATGGCATCTGCGCCTGGGTTGTCAATGGCATCTTTATGGATTGATTGCCTCTTACCTCTAATCTCACTGCGTTGAGCGAATCCACCGCTAGAGTAAAGCAATAGGACGATCTTGACTTCGGACGCAGCACAATGAGATGACTGGGTAGGTACGAATATTATACAAGATCTCATTCAACAGTCGTTATGAGAGGCGATATAATGTGATATAGTACATTCATAGTAGATAATCTCCTCTCCTCTTTTGACCCTCCATTTTCAGTCGATAGCACACGCCTCACCTCGGCGTCCACCCTTGTGCCTTCAGATCCGCAACCTTGGCCGCATCTTCCTTCTTGATGCGCTCGATCGTCTTGTCCCGGTTATATTCCATTACTCGCTTCTCCTTGAAGTATTTGACCTATGTAGGAACAAGGATTAGAAACCTATCTCCCGAACTGTTCAAGGCTGGGAGGGGATGCATACCCAAGCTTTCGCGCACGCCCCTTCAAACTGTGCCAGTTCCTTCCCACATTGGCGCCGCGCCTCCTTATCTTCCTTGATCGAGTCGATGATGTTATTTTTGTCAAGGCAGGAGAAGAATAGATCACGGCCTTCCCAGCACTTTTCGCGGGAGCTCCGGTCGGGGGCTATGCGGCCGCCGTCGGAGGCTTTGGAGTCGTCGGAGGACCAAGGGAGCCAGCCCATTTTGATCAAGGTATATTAAATAAGATTGAAATGGTAATATGAGTACAGCGGAAGACTAGAGAGAAGTAGAATCGTCGCAAAATGATCTGTAGGCAGGAGTTGGGTGTCTTCAGTTCCGCTGGGAATTCCGCATTGGCGGCTCCGCGTGGCTTGTCGGCTGTGGCGCAACCATGTCATTTGCTGGGACAGCTTCGTCGTCGTCGACTTGTCATTCATCATCAATTGACTCGACCACGGCAACACAGCAGCTTAAGTCAAAAATATAATGGTAGCTACTACCTCGCAGATACATAACTGAACTTGCATCTACTCGATATCGACGCCTGCACTTCCCAAAGTCTGTCCCAAACTGTCCAGCCCGCTCGCTCGTTCTCCATAAACAATATTTGCATCACCGCCAGGATCAATACATTATCAGTAGTTCATGCCCCCGCGCCGACGGGCTCCTGCGGGGTCCCGAACAGACCTTCCACCGCTGAAGATTATTCGAAAGATCCTTCTCCTGCAAACTGCCTACTATGTCTCAGCTACAGCTCTGATTCTATTCACGACTTTGGTCTACGGAACGGGGTTCTCGCTCGATCTGGTTTTCAGCTGGGATGCCTTAAGGGGGGACACAACAATAGGGTGGATGCTGGGGCTAGTATGGATGTTGAACAGTTTACTTGGGTATTGTCTACACCTTTCTCTCCTGGAAGAGTTTGGTTGGCTGACCGGATTTGATTGACAGCGTGATCTTCCTACTTCTCCTCGTGTCCCGCTCAAAACTCATCCCCGACTTCGCCTTGACAATCCACTTCCTCCATCTCATCGCGACGTCGTTCTACACTCGCTCAATACCCCGGAACTGGCTCTGGTGGGGTCTTCAATGCGCCAGCGCAGCTCTGATGACCTTTCTGGGTATCTGGGCCTGCCAGTGGCGGGAACTCAGACCTATCACGTTCGGGATAGCAGGCGGTAGGGGCACGACGCAGTCGTCTTCTAGTGCAGCCCAACCACAGACCGGCGACGTTGAAAACGAACCGTTCTTGCCATCCCGGGGGCGCGGCCGAGGGCGGAATCTGGGTGAGGGGAGTGGCGAGTACGAATTGACGGAGATGAAAGGTGAGCAGGCTGTATAATGCTCTTGTGGGGCTTGGACGACACTTTCGCCTTCAGTACTTCATTTTATTATTAATTTTGGCGACCTGGATACGGCGCTACGGTGCATCGTTACCATCATCATTGTTATACCCTAGCTGGTTGGATTTGTATAGATGGCGTTGAAGTGGACGGTGCATTCCTGTGCAATTCATGTGGATGAGGATATATTGCAGGAGACGTTTGCGCCGTCATGATATGTGCAGGCACATTTTGGTTACGTTCTAATAAGATTGACTCTCTGGCCCACCTTGACGGGGATTTGAATTTGGGCGGAGGGCGAGGCAGTAGTGCAATGAGCAGCATTGCCAATCAGTTGTCTCGATTTCTCCGCGAATCCTTCGGTCGGATAATAGTCAGTTAGAGATACGTACATCTTCTTTGCGACAAATCATGAAGCTTTGCGCCTTCTACGCGACAAGCGATCAGGCAAGCCAGGCGGGGATTCGGAGTTGACCCGCGAAGTCCGATTCAAGTGATGATAAGCTCTGCGTAGATAAAAGATTGGCAATATGTTGGTACGACTGTCTCAAGTTAGTGATATATATGGGGTGGGGTTACCTTACATCTTGATTAATTTCAAGTTTAATGCTACACAGTTGTGCTCACTGCTGAAATCTGTTTTCTGTCTACTCGTAACACGTCGATTGATCCAAAATGTCGACCACGACAATTACTGAAGCTGCGAAGCATACACTCGTCGTCACCCAAATCACTCCTGCCGCAGCAGATGAGAAGTTCCAGGCCATCGCGCGCGGCAATCGCGAAGGTACACTCAAGCTCCAGGGCATCCCAACCTTCTCCGACCCCTACGAGCAGCGCAAATGGATGAAAGAGCATATGGCGGCTGCGTTTCGCTTCTTCGGGAAGCAGGGCTACGGAGAGGGAGTGTCTGGTCATATTTCGATGAGAGGTAAGGGAAGTTTATAGACAGACATGAGTTCCGCATGCTGACTTCTCCGCAGACCCCGTCCTCAAGGACCATTTCTGGATGAACCCCTTCGCAAAGCATTTCTCGACCATCAAGGCTTCAGACCTGGTTCTGGTCGATAGCGAGGGCTACGTGACGGAGGGAGGGGCGCAGCTTCCCATCAACGAGGCGGGCTTCATGATTCATTCTGAGATTCACAAGGCCCGTCCAGATGTGGTGGCTGCGGCGCATACGCATTCGATTCATGGGAAGACGTGGAGTGCATTTGGGCGGCCCGTTGAAATGCTTTCTCAGGGTATGTACTGTACCTATACCCCTGAAGGGTTGTGGTTGGAGAACGCTGACGGTTGCTGTAGACGCCTGTAACTTCTACGGGAAGCTGAGCGTATATGATGATCATGGTGGGATTGCACTAGCCCAGGAAGAAGGCGAGCAGATTGCAAGGGCTCTAGGCGAGAAGAACATCGCCTGTATTCTGCAGAACCACGGGTATGGAATCTTCTTGTTGCGCCCAGCGATTGTGCAAGAGCTGATCGTCTCCTAGTCTACTGACGGTTGGCCACACCGTCGATGAAGCTGCGTTCCTCTTCTTCAGTTTGGATAATGCATGTCGTTCGCAGTTGATGGCTGATGCCGCGGCTGCGAATGGAAACCCTAAACAGATCATCAGCCATGAAGTGGCACAGTATACTGCCGACGCAGTTCAGAACCCAGTAGGTTCTCTGTGTTGATCTCAGAGTGTAAACTGACATGCCGCAGCATAACTTTTATACCGAGTTTCAGCCTGAGTTTGAGTTGATTGTGGAGGAGAGCAATGGCCGGGTTCTTCAGTAATACAGACGTGGATCAATTCCTACAAGAGATCAGTCTGTCACCAATGTAGCAATCAGTCTCCAGTTTAGATGCGATAAGGCTCCCTTAATGTGAAATCGTCTACTGAGTGGGAGGAGGTATACTCTGAGTGCCTTAATACCTCAGGGTAAGGAAAGGTGTATGACTAATGATGTTCACGTGACTGACACATGGCATCTGCGGACCAACGACATCAAAGAGTAGTAAACACCTTCAATTCTAGATGCAATGTGCTACTCAAAACCTACTGTCGCTCTTCTAGCATCATTAGCAAGGTCTGGGATGGTTCTTATAAAATGAGATTCTCTTGAATTCCTGTGGCGGCATCAATTGAACCAGACCTTTTGCAATATCCATCCACCTCCTATCTGTTCATTTCATCTCGTTTTCTTGTTTGATAGCCATTCTTCCAGATAGAGTAATTTGGCTGCATATAGTGTGGACAAGATGGCAGACAGCGAACCTTCATACATAGATTACGAGGCCTTTTTGGACCCCGACTTCTCACCAGCATCATTTGCCAATTCCTTGGTCCTGGCAACCAACAATTCTACAGACACACCGCTGGACCTTTCCACACCACTGTCACGGGTGCTTTTTGACCTCCAAGAGATTGATACTCACATCCACAATCTAACGAGCAAGTCAGCTATCCCACTGCTTACGCACACGCGTGATCAAACCGCTGCTGCGGAGCGGATTCTCAAGGAGACGGAGGAGCAGATATCATCTGTGACCAAAGGCTATGAACGCTTGGAGCAGGAAGTTTTACGAAAATGGGAGGCTGCAGACGAAGCCAGAGTGGCTGCAGAAAAGTCGCTGGCAACCGTGCGATTAGCGAGAGCGGTCGCGCGTTGTCTGGCTCTCGGCAGGCAGTTGGAGGGTCAGCTTTCTGAGGTGACTGGTCGGGGTGGACCAGCGGTGACTGCAGGAGCACACGATCGCTCGTCATCCAATCCTGGCAGAGAGGACTACCGAGCGTTGGAGCGAGCCGCCTCTACCATTGTGAGTTTGCGACAGATGTTCTCCGCTACCGCTGTGGGAGAGGAAGGCTATGGATTGGAACGTGTCAAGGTCATCCGGACTTTGAGAGGCGAGCTGGTGATTCCGGCCGAAAAT